ATTAATGATTTTATAGTTTTATTTTATAGTTATTTTTTATAGTTATTCAATCACCTGACACGTGTTGGGAATCGCACGTTAAAAGGTAGGGCTCTGGCTAAAAAACCCATTTTAATCCCATCTGACGTTGATATGATGCTTTGCTTGCATTCAAGAACGAATTAGTTCTGATTCTAAAAACGACGTCAAACCCAATCAAAAAATTATTAACGTTTTTGATATTTGAAAACCCTTGTAAAATAGGCGGTATTGATTTCAAAATGGTAGTTTCTATTAGGAAATGGTTACAGTTGATGACATTTTTAGATGGAATGGCTCAGAGACATCACTTGAAATTTGTAATGATGATCTCACATAATAAATTTAAAGATAACCGGTTTTAAAGATTTCGCACAATGATTTTGCGATCTAAAGAAAAAAAGCAAATTTCTTGCTGAACCGACAATTTGAGCATTTGGATATTTTAAAATTTTATTACGTATAAAGAAACTTGAACTGTTCAAACATTTGTCAAATTTTTCACCCTGTTTAATGTGACAATGCTGGTAAACGTAAAATCAATTTTGAAAATCTTTCTAGAAGTGGAATATTCTGTTTTCGCTTTTTATGTTGGGTCAGGGCAGAAAAATAATAATGTTAAATGGAAAAACTCACCTGATCGTTCATATCGTAGCCGTTCGATTGGAAATTCGTTTGTGGTATACTCAAAGACAAGTCAACGTTTTCAGATCTCTGGAACCAAAAGAGAAAAATAGTTTAATATTACTGTTAATACCTGTATGTTAAGAATCACTATATAATATGTTGTTTTCAACTTGAAAATATTGGGAAAAAGTTGGTATTAACTTATATATGAGTTTGTTGAGTCTAGGAAGATTTCTGCCGAGAACTAGTAGGTACAGTTAATGGAATGTTGAACTTTATATTAACTCTCGTATGTTTCTACTTTTTTGGAATTATTGAATTTAGAAACATTTGTCCTTCGTGATAAATATTTCTGTATCTACATACGCTATAGATATAGATCATAAGATTTTTGTTCACGTCTAGTTCAGATTCAGAAAAAACGTTCCTTTAGAGGTTTTCAGTAGTAGATATTCTGTAAAAAATTCACACAATTCATATATTCATGTGAACAAAAATTATGAATAAAATGTTGATAATACTTAATTTTGACTACTCAATGAGAAGTACGGTAATATCGCAATTAAAAAAATTAAACAATATTGTATACATACATTTATGAAATAGTCAAATCATACATTTGCTTTTCATATGCCTGGAGTATGAAACTCCATGAAAACGCTCTAGGAAGCTATTGAATAGATAAACACTTGTTCCGGTTTTGTAAAGTGTCCAGTGAAAATCTCACAATAAAATGTTACTTGAATTCATCATACATTTTCATCACGTATCGGCCAATTCCCTCACATATTTGCTTCTTACGTTTTAGCCATCGATCATGCACAAAAAACTTTAATAAAACCAACTCAAATAAAAGATACCAACTTGAAAACCACAAAAAATTGGTTAACAAACGAGGGGTCTCCAGAATTTTTGTTTGATCATCATCATCATCACTATTACCATCCTGCATAGACATTGTTCACGTTGATAATGTATATTCATTATGAGCATTCCTAAGTCGATAAGAGAAACTTCTTCATTCATCACATCATCCTCAGTATCATTTGTGAAGATATATTTTGATAAAAATATTGGAAATTGTTGTTGATTCAATAAAATTGCATAATGCACCGAGACTCGGGATAATCCGTAAGAAACAACAAGAGAAAGAAGAAAATTTACGACCACTGATACATAATTTATTATCAATTTCATTAGCTTAATAGCCATATATTTCACTTAAGAAAAATCGTTCCATATGACAGTCTGAATATCTTGTAATAACTGGTTATGAATTACCGGACTAATTCATTACACTAATAAATAAAGTTTGATTGAAAAAGTTGTTGGACATTGAAGATGCCCCGAGATGTAATTTAAATCAGATCTGAAGAAACCAATCAGAAAAGTTAATTAGGAATTTCAATTCACTAATAGGTTCATCAATATTTTGACGATAATAATCATCAAACAATATTCAATATGGATTATAATTGATTTGTTTCGAAACTTTTCATTATCTTCAGAATTTAAGTAATATTCCATTCTCACCTTCAATCATTCTAACTAGAAGTATTAATAAACATAAAATACCTTGAACGTTTGTTTTGAAATTATGTATATTACGTCAAATTACCTTTTGGTTTTTTCTACTTGGCTTAAATTGAAGGGTCGCTAAATATTAACAATCAGAACTTCCTTGATAATGATAGATTTTAAGTCCTCTTTGTGTGTATATATTATTTTTCTGGATCATTAACCCGTTCGTTAATGGAAATGAAGCAAAATTATAAATATCTCCAATGATTTCAAAAAAATCTGTGCAGTATGGACAATATGTCTTTCAGAAAATGAACCAAAAGAAGCGGAAAAGAGTAGAATGCATAATATTTCCAAGGACATTGTGTCGAATCCTAATAATTCGTGCTTGGAGATGAAGTGAAAACTCGTTCTCATCCTAGAAGTAATCCTCATTTTCTCAGTGTTGAGGCGTTGTGTTGATAAGATAACAATTTCAGTGTCCAACAATAAGAAACTGGTCAGTTTTTGAGAGGTTTATTGAACACGAGGTAAGTACAACAATTCTTTTCCAATTTTGTTTCCGGTAATTCTTCAAGATGTTCTAATAGACGATGTCTATTCCTTATATATATTGAAGTGCACTGTGTACATCCCACATATTTCCGAAATTTTTGAGTATAATGATGATGATGATTTACATCATTCTTTCATGTTGAATCACTTGTGATACTCTATTCATATATAACATATGATAAGATTTTGCTTCAGTTCAATAGGTGACTTTTGAAAGTTTGTGAGTGAATTTATGATACTTTCAAAAGGACATAAATTAGCTCATGATATTTTTCGATATAAAATTATCAAGGTAATCAAAGGTCACTGTACTCAATAAACCCGAATTATTCACTTCCGTTATTAAAAATACCAGCTCAGTACTGATACTACTATCAGGAAAGGAAGACACGAATTCCAAATGAAGAAAGTATACTACTTATACTATCTATCGAGTTAGACTATCGGTGCAATTAACATGATATTATTCCATACAAAAAAGGTAGATAATTAAAATTTCCACTGTATGATTAATGAGCCATCAAACGTTTTGCCATCGGGAATGTTGAAAGGTGCTATCACGACCTATTTAGCTTTTTTTTCTTGATTTTTATTACGATGCGCTAAATGTCACTGAGCAAGCCCAAACTGTCAATGTGAAATTTCTCAAAGGTCGAGTCATAAGCCATGTTAGGCAAGCAGCACGACCTAAAGGTATGAAAACGACGACTACCAGGAAATTGTTATTCAGAGAATGGATAAATGTCATATACTTAATGTCATGCGAATAGGAGGCATTACATATTTAATATAAATAACTCTTTAGGAGAAAATTAAAAGAAATAAAATGATTTATCAACAGAAAGAAATCCATATTTGGTGATTAACAGGAATGAAAATTTTCACTATTAGTCCGATTCCGTCGCTTTATATTGAGTTATATATTGAGTAAACGTAAGTTTACTGCGACTGCTGCGAGTAAACACACATACTACTGATGGTGTTTGCCGCAGTAGCAGACGAAACGTATGGTAGTTTAAGTTTCATGTGACCACGACCTACTAGGCCAGATTTTGTTGTCTTCAACTAATATTGAACTCTCCTGAATTTTTGTTGTTGTTTTTTGCTTTTGCCTCCGCAATCTGAAAATGAATCGTTCAAGTATGACGTAAGCATATTTACCACAATTATTCCGCCCCTATCCCCCTTGTCAGCAAAAGTAAGTAAAGCTCTTACCCCCCATGCTTACGTGAACATCGTTGAATATATTTTTCATTTTTCAAACATAGACAATGTATGGGTTACCATAAGCCATATCACTATACCTAGACCCCCACCGCCCCCCATAGGGCTGTGATGTCTAGATGGTGGGGCCCCAAAATGAAAAAAGCAAAATTTATTTTTCAGGTCGTGAAGAGTTGAATACCTTCACAAAAAATGCTTTTCCATAACTTTCTCCCGAAACTGTTACATAGCCGAATGTCTTTAATTATATATACATTAAATCTGTATTCATACATACATATATTAAATCATGTACAAGAGGTACATGAGGTACATTATTTAATGAGAAAAAACATTGTAGTAGGTTTATTCTTCGATTTGAGTAGAGATTTCGACACCTTGAATAGTACCTTCGTATCAGATAAGCTATATTTAATATTGGAAATATAAATGACTTCATAGTGTCTTTCCTAACAAATATATATTTCCAGGTGAAGCAGAATGATATAATGTCCGAAAAATTCCTTGTAGCAACTGGGATACCTCAAGGCAGTGTTCTCGGTCCACTAATTTTTCTATTATATGTGAATGATCTACCTAATAATATAAGTAATTTGTTTGAAGGTGATTGACAATGTGTCATGGTGCATTTCATGGTTAGGACTTCCATTGTCTAATATGATATAAATCACCCGTAGACGATTGTGGATACTAACAATCGAAACATCGTGAAGTAACTTGGTTTGGAATCTTTTAATTTTCAATTTTCATCTCGTGCACCACGAAACATTAACAATCACCTTTAAACAATCTTTTCTCTATTGAGAAACATTCGACAGCACAAATAGTGCACTATTTCTGAAATAAATCTCGGAAAAACAACTTCGAAAATTTCAATTCCACCTGCAATCAGATCTGAAAACGTGGGTTATCATTATTTAATGAAAATTCACATGCGAAATATTTTCNTTTATTATTTTTTACAGATTCTTTCAGGGATTTCAAATCAATTTATATCATACTAGTACTATGTTGCTGTATCGCTGCTGTTCCAATGTTTTGACAGAATCAGAATCAACGAACTCAGGCGTGCGCAGCGTTGTAGAACAGTGCTTTCAAAAAAATTGTTCAACAGCGCCATCTAGTGGCAAGTTACAGAAAAATTGATAGCCTAAAAACCTTCTCTATGAAAAATTACTTATACATGTCAAGTTTCATCACGATCGGTTGAGCGATGTAGAAGTTCATCACTTACCAACCAACTAACCAACCAACCAACAAACATCCATTTTTAAATATTAGATTAGAAAATGGAAGTCCGAACTAATGAACTGATTATAAGTAATCTGTTTAAAAAATCTGTTTTTCCGTTAACAATCTGGGGCACCCATACGAACAACAACCCTCATAAGTCGATACTTGTGCGAGCTAAGGACTAACGATGTCTTACCTTCTAACGTGTGATTCCTAACACGGGTTGGACGAAGTAAAAATCGATCGTTCAGCCTGGGGCTTGAACCACCGACCAACACGACGGTCGATCGATTCACTGAGTGAGTGAACAAAGCACCCACGTCGAACCGACAGGCTACAGACCGATGGTGTGATATACCATTACGCAGACGACACTTCTATTATCCTTTCGAGTGAAACAGCGGAAGAAATGCATAGTCTTGTTAACTCAACTTTACACGAATTGGATGACTGGTGCTACAGGAATATACTTATAGTTACCCTGAAAAAACTCTCAGTATGGAATTTGGAAATTCATCTCGACGTCTACATGATTTCAATTCAATTTTTCGGAA